TTAGACATCTGTTACATTCACAGTGTAGATCAGGCCCTTTCACGGAGCCGTGCCAGATATATACCGTGGTATGGTACGACTCCCTGCCGAGTCCAGGGTGTAGATCTCTTTGTATAGGAGGATTCCCTTGCCTTTGTAACAAACAACGGACTCTGGACGGTGAACTGTTGACCTTTGAGGCCCTAGCGGTTTTATGCAGCAGTTATGCTGAAGGATCAACTAAATTATGCTCGGCATTGCTATTTTTCAGAAAGCCGTGATTATGCTCAAAATTATGCCGGCATTATCCGCCGATGACTACCTACGTACCGATCTTCACATTCTCGGCACTGAAAAAAATAGATAAGGTTGCTTCTACTAAGGGTAGGTAGAACGTCCTTCTTCACACTGAACGCACGCGTCGTTCCAAATACTAAATACAATTTCACGCACGGGTAAGACGAACAGACAATGTTGCGCACCTCCTTCTCGACGCGCGCAGAACCAGCACCCACCCAGGGTAAGCGGAGTACCACGGGGCACCTGTCCGGTCCAAATGGTTTCGGATCCTGCGTGATTGGTTTGTTATTAATAAGTTTTGTTAGTAGTGACGAGGGGTATCCATTGTTTGTCAAAATTGATGTGAGCCGCCTCAGTTCTTCTTGAAGAAGGTGAGGAGAGCAGATTCGATGGGCACGATAGACTAGTGCTTTGACAAGGTGAACTTTGGATTTAGTTGGTGTGTAGCTTCCCCATGGAATATACAGGCCAGTAAAGGTGGGTTTTCTGTAAACCGTCATGTCTAAACTCTTGGTGTCGTTGTTGCGGGTAATATTGACATCTAAGAAGGATATCACACCATCCCGTTCACCTTCTGCAGTGAATTTTAATGCAGGATGTAGTCCGTTCAGGGTTGTAGATGATGTAGATGATGTTTTTTGTCACGACGAGGACCAAGAAACCTGCGAGAACTTTTTAACAACCACCCCTGCATACGACATGAGTGGGTTGCTATGCACCCACATACTGAGGCAATAGCAAAGTCACACCTTAGTGGATCCAAAATAGAAATCTGATGTCAACTTACTACTCCCTGACCGTTTTTGACGTCATCACTTTCAAGCCCTAATCAGCTTACAAGTCCTCTTCTTTCCTCAATGTTCACCCTCCAGTCGGCTGCTACTTGCAGGCGAGAGGCGCACTAGAGGGCAATCATTCTCTTCACTTTCTTTGCCCGCTGCTACCACTAGATATGGCATGTTCTCTATTTCTTTCCTTGGCGCTGATAGGTGGACTCTGCCTGTCTCGTGTCGTCAGGTTGAGCATCTATCCGTTTTTGTTTCGCTCTGTAAACATGGTAAAGAGCACTTAGGGTTCCCTGTATACATGTAACAAGACGGCAACGTCTGTAGGGCCTAGGGCCTTCCCTATCAAATTCAGCCCTCACCATCGTCTACACGGATTTCAAAAGCGTCGACCTCCATTTTGAAAACATGGTGGCTGGCCGCGCTACCAGTAGGCGCACGTGCCCACCGCGTGTCTCAGTGCGAGCTTCGAGCTCACGAGCTAAAGATCATGTCGCCCACTCATTTTCCTGTGTTTCCCCATTTCTTCGAACTCGCTCAGCTTTTGCTTCAGGTTTTGCTTCGCTCGTGCTTCAGCTCCACGCTGTAGTCTGAGTTTAGTTCTCTTGTCTTCTTCCAGCAGAATACTGCAAACTCTACAGCACGTCGAGCTCCTCCTAGAAGAGTTTATTTTGCGTCGAGGCAGACTGTCGATCGTTTCAGTCCTATCTTGCCGTCGTCTCATGAGCGCCCCGGAAAGCAACAGTATCTATTTTCTTGTCGTTCCATTTTCTGGCGAACTCATTCACCTACTACTTCTTCCTTTATGAAAGCTTCAGGTGGCTGAGTTCTCCCACTAGCGACAATCATGCCTTGGAAATGAACAGGATATTCCTAAGGTATATACAGCCAGTGCAGTGATGTCAGTGTACTGCGCGTACTAGTAGTTGTTTGTTTTGTCGAGAAAGAATCCCTTTCGCACTCGCGCGGGCCGCGAGGGCGCAGCACGGAAACAGGTCTATTGAATTCATTTCTTGGTCGATTTCGACAACCAATACGTCGTTGTTTTTCTTTTTTCACTGGCTATCCTTTCTCCGCTTCCGAATTGCGATGCCGTCCACCTGGAAAGCCTTGAAGTGAAACGAGTGGAGGCCGGTTTCGGAGGTAATTTTCGGCCAAACGGCAATCAAATCGAAAAATTCGAAGCGGACGATCTGTTGGTATCTATCGAAAGAAGACGTTGGCCCATAAAAAATCTTTGGAAACTACACCGTATGAACCAAGGAATTACGGTAAGTTCGAGAATTTTGGTACATTAGCTGTACGCTGATTGGTCGATTTGCGCGACCGTTGAGAAACGGGCCAGTGACGCTTTGTACAGCGTTGGTGAGGGCTGAAATTATAGCAATAAAAACTGCTTTATGGCAGTTTTCTAAAAAGAGTTATTGTGTTCTAGTCCATGGACCCTGTCTAAAAAGTAAGAAATTAACGAAATGTGATAGCCGAAAATTAAGATTTCACACAAAACCTCACAATAATCACAACACTTGAAATGCTGCTTTCAACACTAAGCTTGTACTGCACCAACAATTGGCAACATGCATGCATAGGAAAGAGGATCACGAGGGGAAAAGGTCTTCTACATGTACATGTAGCTTTTTATTCTGTGTGTGATTATTGTGAGGTTTTGTGTGAAATCTTAATTTTCGGCTATCACATTTCGTTAATTTCTTACTTTTTAGACAGGGTCCATGGACTAGAACACAATAACTCTTTTTAGAAAACTGCCATAAAGCAGTTTTTATTGCTATAATTTCTTTGGTTTTTTCTGTCACCAATCAATGGAATGCCCTTATGTAAATGATGGCCTTCACACCATATCAATACCGTATTTTACGCATTGATGTGCAAGCCTTTTCTTGCAGAAAATGGCACTAGCATAATGCAATTGCATGTTCTTCTGCGGGGAAACATGACATGTGAGTAGTGGTCTGGTGGTGGTGATACTTTTTTTATACAGAGGTCATTCTGTGCATGTTGCAGCTTGCTGTTGCAGAATTTCATGACTCTGTCATAAAATTGTCTTGCCTTTCAGATATTTCAGATTTCCCCACCCTCGATCAGATTTATTTGAGAAATGTAGGCAGGTGCGTGTCGCAGATGTTTTTGTTGATTCTGTGTTTATAATGGTTTATAATCATGGGTTATCGTGCTAAGGTCATCCTGCATCATATTGCACTGAAATGGTAATCCTGTTGATGTCGATACAACTTTTGGAAGTAGTTCAATGACTTCAAACTGTTAGTCCACGACTTTCTAAAACAACACAGCAAAGGAGGAACAATAAACATGTCTTAAAATATAAACAAATACATTGCTGAGTCCGACACCTCGTTCCAACAACTACACTGATCCTGAGGATAAAAGGGGCAAGGCTATGGTTGGAGGTACTGAGAGATAAACAAGGCACTCCACAATAATAAAATCTTACACATCTTTTGGTGAGTATGAATGATATCCAGTCGAACCTCTTTAGGACGAACACCAAGGGACCGATGGTATTTATTCTGAGTTTGTTTGAACCTATTTTATAACCAGTGAATACAATTATTTCTCCAATAGAAATACGAATAGACTTCTTCTACAGCGAAAAATTCTAAGCCACACCGACTCATTGACTCGTCTCGTATGAAACAAATGAGTCACTGAACCTTTCTTTAGCAACATGACGGCAAGTGAAACAGCAACAGAGAAAGTACGATACATGTACTCCACATTCTTGCAGGTACTACAAACAGATTGCAGATCGTAATTCTTGCTTTGGCGGCACGAAACTGTATTTGGGGCAGTGCAATCTCGGCGGTACTCACAAATCAAAAAGCCCAGACTCTGGAGATTTTCCCTGATATGCGAATTTATTTTGCAAACTCGGTCAATGGGTCCTTGAACCTTTCCCTCCAGATTGGGAACTGCCAACGATAGTATGCCACTGACCAGTGCCTTTCTTGCAACGTACTAATGTACAATGAATATGAGTATTTCGACAACACATCTAACATAAGCCTTACCGTCAAGAAGGTGAACTCGCGTTCTTCGCACACTGTAGACAAGGGCAAAGAGATAAAAATGGATCTAAATCCGAATAAAATCAGCACACGTTTCCGTAAAATTTAATGAAAGGGTGAGCACAAGCAAATGAATCGGTCGAAGGAAACCGGTCAACTCAGAGATCACCTGTCATCGAGTATTCCGTAAAAGAAGGCCTCGGCAGCGGAAAAGCTAAAGTTAGAAAAGAGATCCTGTCAGCTTTTCCATTATTTATTGCATTCCGCCCAAAATCAGCACACTTTTCGTGAATGAAAGAGTCAACACAAGCAAATGAATCACAGGGAACTGGTCAACTCACCTGTCATTGAGTAATATTCCGCGAAAGGAGGTCGCAGCAGCGCCGAAACGAAATAAGCCAGGCCAGGAGACGAAATATCCGAAACAGCTCATACAAGAAGCATTTCCAAAGAAAGAAGTTCCTCGTGCATGCACATCCGGAAAGGCAACAACAAAAAGTCTGCAATACACACGCATGCCGCCAACCGGCCGCGCGATGGGCAGCTCCCTGGTCCAGGGCCAGGTACCGAGCATCTTACGTAGAAACTTACGTAGCTACGTAGACAACGTGTCTGAATAGCGGTGTCGTTAGATAGCGCCATGTGAACACAATAATAGAAAAGCTGACAGGATCGCTAATAAAAATAATAAATTCTACTACTACTACTAGACTACTAGTACTACTAATACTACCGTACCGGCGCGCGGTAGCTGCTGCTAGCTGCCGCCGCTGCATGCACGGATCAGACAGGGGTTTTTTTTGTGCAAAAATGGAGCAAAATTTTTCAAGTGAAAGAATCTTTCTGATAAGTTTCGCGGGAAAACTGCCATTTCAAGCTTCGTACTGCAAAAGAGAAAACAAAAACTGCTTGCACTGACCGATCAAGTCAGTGAAGAAATCAGCAGTTCCAGCTGATTTCGTGGAAGAGGGGTCCATGATACCCACTTCCCAGCCTCACGTTTTGTCCGTTCATTTCTTTCACCCCTGCGTGGGCGAAGTGCCGATCACGATGCTGAGGAGTTTGTGAACACTAACTTTAATTATTTCAGCAGGTACAATTAGTGAATTACAACTGCACAGCTGAATCTGGTCGTCTGGCCGTGGTGCTGTTGTGTTTAGTGTTCAACTTCAAGTGCACTCCTGGTCATTTTCAGCATTCCAGGAGCCGACCTGTGGATAAATCTGTGAACAGTTTGGCGGGTACCGGTACTGGTTGCAGATATGGATATGGAGAACTTTGGGGTATCTTCCATTGTGGATCAACATGGAACGCTCAAGTAAGATTGCACGAATCCCAATTCGCGCTTGCAGTACGATCATGTTTCCTGAATTCTCCAATTCAGAATTCTGAATCCTGAGTTAATTCTCCAATCATCCCATTATTTGTTTGAAAAGCAAGGAAATGCCACGACACCGGACATGTATGTGTATGTGATAGATATAGCCTTTCCCGACTCATCCCCGGCTAGTGTTGCTGTGCAGCGGCTAATTCTACAGTCCATTCACAAAAAGATGGGCCCTGGCTCTAGCGAGCTCCTGTATTTGGCGAATTTTCAAGATTTTATCGTACACAGTGCAGTGCTGCGAAGTTTGAAATTTGAACAAGGGTCCAAAAAGGGTACCTGAACAGGGGTTCGAACCGTACAATGCACTGTTGCAGGCAGGATCAAACGGCCTGGATTTTGATGGTCTCTCCCAATTCAGTGCTCTTGGAGCAAAACCTGGCCAAAATACTACTTGGTCCGACTTATTAAAATGTGCGTTTCGCTTCGAACGTCAACCAAACAAATTCAAATAATCTCAGGATGGAATAAACTTTACAGCTACCTAACACTATCCTTCAGTTGTCAATTTGTGATGTTGAAGAAGAAATGGCTCCAACTCCAACGGAGGCAGCGGCTCGGGATCCTAATCGACTCGAGAATTTTGCGTCCAAATTTTGTCGTCAGAGGACTCCTGTTGCTTCTCGCGCAACACAGAGAAGGCCTGGTGCTGAAATCAACACCCCGCTGCGATGGGGGATTGTCACGGAGTACCAGAACCTCCTGGACGATCGTGCTCGAGTGCCTCCTGGCGGATTGAAATCGCTGCAATCCCTGTTTCCTTGGCAGAATTTCAGCAAACGCGTTATCCAGAAACTCGTGCAGAAAGCACCAGCATCGCTCCGTCCAGTTTGCTGATCTGTCTCGCAGTCGTTCACGATGTGGCGGCCGACGAATCAAGATCACAGAAGTGATCGTCGAGAAGTTGATCGAAAAAAATAACCGGCCTTGAGGTCGACTTTCAGGCGACAACCTGGCTGGAAAACTGAAGCGCAGAAAGGGTGAATTATCCGGCGGATACGGTGCGGAGTCCTCGGAGCCGCGATCGCGATGCGTCACAACTTACACAAGATCGCCAGTCTCCGGGGCCAGTGGATTCGTGAAACAGGCAGGGAAGAGCACGCATGGTCTGACTGCATGACAAGTCGACACAGATCAGACGCATGATCAGTAGACCTACGCGCGCGGTACACGGTGGCCAGAAGTGATTTTTTTATGCGTGGTGGTTTACTTGTTCGCCTCATTTGAAGGTGTCGTGAGAGCTTCAGGCGAAAACACCTACAGCCACCATTCTGGTAGTCGTACTGCACGAGGAGGAGGCGAAGTCGATCGTCTAAATCGTGCCTATGGAGTGAAACAATCAAAGAAGCGCAGTGTAGCTTGGAGGAGATGAAAAAAATGTCGACGTTTTGCAGGTTGACGCACTTGCAGATGCGCCCTGAGACACCAGCAGCGATGAAAACTAGAAGGTCAGGCCAAGAAACGACAGAGTAGTTATCTATCTAACGTCTCTTGGTTGATTTTTTAGTACAGGTGCTCCTTTGTACATATGCTTGAGTTTTGAAGTGAAGCGCACATTTTAATAAGTCGGACCAAGTATTCTTGTTACGGCTTGCTTTTTGGAGAAATAGACTTTAGAAACATAATTGGAAGAGGATTCCATAGGGGATTGCAGAAAAAAATTCTAAAAAAACTCAACGTTTGACCCATTTATGGCCAAAAGCTAGAAGTCCATCTTTTTCTGAATGGACTGTAGCAGGTAAATTTTTAGCGTAAAACCTGTAATGGCGACCACTGCGACCACTTTTCCTTGTCACGGACGCATTCACATTCAGCTCGGATACGGCGACCACTCTAGTCTGTGGGCCAAGTGACAAAAATGTGAATTCTCGTTCCGAGTAAGAGGGCACCGCAATTTTTTTGGCCCAGTCGATAGATGGACTGGCATGCATTGAAAACCGTTTGTTGTCATTCCTGAATTTGTCCAAGGGTTGCACGGCGAGTGAAATACAAATCAGCACTGGTTGCCATGGTAACCAGAACCGAAAATTGGATTTTCTGGCTAATTACAATGTTTTTGGTATTCAAATAACCTACGTGGAGATAATAATTTTAACCTTTTGAGCACGACGCTACCTGAATGCCTCCCCACGGCAACACCTGCAAAAGTGGCGTTTTTCCTATGAAAGTACTACCTGTTCAAGGATCGATAACTTTACCTTCCCTTGGACTAATTCCACGATCTTGAGCTTCCTGGAAAGGTCTTGAGACGAGGAGCAAACTAGTTCCAAACTCAGCTCGGAGCGAAACTAAACGCCCATGCTACAGTCTGGCAAACTTCACCCACGCGCTCGACAGACTTGAGCACGGGCAAGAGACCAAATCCTCAGCTGCCATTTCGCCCTCCTTGCTCGTATCGAGCTCAAATTTTTTTTGAGGACTCCCGAGATCCGCCACCATCATTTGAATCTAGTTTCCATGGCAGCAGGTAGCGCAAAAATGATCGAAAATGATCGAACATGCAAAATACGCGTTCTGCAGATCGCGCAAAAAATTCTCTTTGAATTTGCCGTGTCGAGTCGCATATCTCAACAACCCGCGGTCGTATCGCTTCGGCGATTGTTTCTATCGCAAGCTGAGAGTTTTCTCTTCCAGATACATACTTCGATCGTGAGAATCGACCAAGAATTGACTGAGTTACGATAGTTTGAACGCACGCGATCCAGACAAATCGCGTATATGCGCGATGTACACTCAGGACGTAATATTACGTCCTCCGTGGTGCAGTGGTATTCTGAATGACGTATTATTACGTCCTTCGTGCTGAACAGGTTAATATAGCTATGAATAGGATGAAGGTGTGTATCTACACTTGTTATCTCATCCTGACTGTCTTGGTGTGTATGATGACTCTCATTTTTCTGTACTGTGTCGTGCGCGTTATGTCCAACAGTTGAAAGTCCTTGAGGCAGTTTGTATACGTATTCATAAGCCTGTTTTGTGTAAGCAGAAAGAGCACGTTGTTGCACTGAAGTTGTATTCGTAGGTTGACACTTCGTTCAGTGCCTTCTCGCCTTTGGTTATGTAATCTTGTTACCTTTTTTGCGTTTCCTCTAGTGGTTTTATTGCACTTGTATCTTGATGTTATTTGTAACACCTTTCTATTTACAGTACTTAACTTCAGTTTCTTTGGTTGTATCCTTAGTTCCGTTTTTTTCCCACTGATGATAGGAACGAGAAAATCGATTCTGGGTTTTCAATAATATTTTTGTTATAAAATACACAGTAATACATGAGCCCCGGCCAGCGAAAACCAGCACTTGTGTACTTGATATCAATCATCAAAATGTGACGTCAAAGTTTGGGACGCGCAGTGAGCTGGCTTTTGAAGATTCTTTTTCGATCGAGTGGGTGTCTTCCTTGTCAAAGGAGTTTCAAGTGTCTTCAAGTGAGTCTAGTCAATTGATTTCAGCGCTAGGTGAGAGCTCGTCAAACGGAGGTTGAGTTTAGACACAGCGATGGCGACAGGTGTCGCGACAAGGACTTAGGTCCAGAGTTGTCAGCGTGAGACTCCCTGTACGAAGCGGCGCTGAAAGTTAGTTCGCGATCGGAATTATTTCTTTGGTGACGATCTCGCTGAGTTTGTCCAGCAGTGGCGAGTCTCATATTCATAGCAACGAAGAGCCCTCATAAAATCGACACTGGATACTAGTGGCGACGATAGTCAGTGCTGGAGTAATAGCGACTGCGAGGAGAGGCTGAATGTCGACCCGCTGAGCGATCCGTATTTCTACATCGACAACAATGATGTTGCAGACACTGATGGAGGGCTTCTCACGTCGCAAAACAGAGCGTAGTATTATCAGTACTCTACCTTTCCAGACGACGCCAAGCTGGCTGCTGCCTGTGCTGAGAAAGGAGATTCCTAAAAAGTCAATCCGGCTGAACGCTTTGGGGTAACATCTTCAGGTGCTACAAAACGCGAGTATTCACTCATATCATTGAAATACAATTTTGCTGAAATCATGATCAGAGTGAAAGTGTGCAAGGGAGTGGATGTCAGTGGTATTGGTCAGTACATCTATCAGTATGGCAAGCTTGGGACAACGCTCAAACTGCCAGCACAGAGGACCCTGAACACAATTTGGAAGGCCAGCCACCAATCATCGTTTTGCACTCTGGTGTTGTAAAGAAGGTGGTCTATACGGAATATCGTCACACTTCTAAACTACTCATGCCTGCAGCACCAAGAGGGCAAGCCTGACTTGCATTCTATTTACTTACATGTACCTGTTCCACATCACAATCAGAAACTGTAGGATCAACTTGCATGGAGTCACTGGGCATGGATGCTGTGCCAACTGTCCCGAATCTTGACCTGTGTGACTTCAAACTCTATTTTCCATGCTTTCGCTTATCAGATTGTCACCAAACTTGATAACTTGAATGATTAATAGTGAAGAATCAATTTCGAGCGAAAAAATAATTTTTGAAAAAATTACACATGTTCAGGTTTCTGCTGGCTGGGGCTCACATGTCAAACAAGTAACATAGTTTTTGGTATTATTATTTTTTTCCACAGGGTCATATCCAGAGTGTTGTGAAACGACAAGTTCTCGAGAGTGAAAGGCCTTCTCGCTTGTAACATTGTGTTCGTTTCAATGCAATCCCGACTCCGCTGTATCGCTGATGTTTACGACGTGGCATACGCTACAGGCGCTATGTGCGGTTTGCTGTGCGCGCTGTAGTTGTATGTTGTATGTGTATGCTTTTCTCATATACGCTGTCATTTTCACGCTATAACTACCTGGTGGTTTTAGTGTTAGTTATTCATTGTTTTCAGTTGTTCATACATTCATTGTTCATTGGTATTAGTCGATGGAAGTGAGATATACTGTTGAGAATAAATAGTTGTCCTCGTGCCGTGTGGGGTCGTTCGTTCCTGACACTTTAGA